TCAGAATCCCGCTCTCTGTCTCTCCCTTAAGGGTTTCTGTTCTTCTATATCCACGTAGTTGAAAATTGGATGTGTTTGTTTTTCATCCTGCCCAACCTTACCACAACTATTACTCGAAAATACTCTAATGTATTAGCTGTATTTTGAAAAACAACAAACACAGCCTTTGGGTACGACATTTTGTACAAATTCAGTGAGCTTAAATGATCATTCTTTAGATTATTATTTGTTAGTGTTGTTGTTTAGTTTCTTGTGATTTGTTCACTTAGTTATAAATCATAAGAAGAATACAGTTTAAACGATGTGATTTTCGTTCAGTAATTATGTAAATATTGTAAAATTGGTAAGGTAAATGCATAATTTACAAATGTTTATCCTTGTACGGCTTTGATTATTGTTCTCCTTTCACAAATCATGTTGATTATGTATAGTTAAATCCTTGTAATTAATCGGGAGGCAATCTACTAGGATCAATGCGTACCATGCCAATCCCCAAAAACAAAGAAACAAACAAACAAATATTGTTAAACTGACGTCACTGTGTAATTATTATTGAATGAGTAAATCAAAATACTTTCAAATATACGAACCATTAATATAAATTAACGCATGCATTAACAACCCTGTTGTTAAAGTCCTCTCTTTTATCTGACAGAATTACTGGCATACCTAGGGCTGTCCAATCGTGGGGTTCGTAACAGCTTATGATTGTAAGCCAAAACATTTCACGCATCTGGCTGCTGTTTGAATTGGCGCGCGCTTTTTGGCATTTCAGAGCGGCTGCATTTCGATTTTTCATACAAAATTCTGTAATCGCTATCATAGCTGAAACCGGTCCGCAAACACACTTACGTTTAAACTTTATTTGCTTAATAATCCAATTAAAAGGAGTCGCCAAAGATAGCCAATTATGTAGAAAATTGATTCATCATTTGGACAAAGATATATATTGAGCGCTAAAAGTTATGCCTAGCTTGTAACATTCGACCGAATATTCAATTTGGGGAATATGATTCTGATTGGTATATTTACGGTATATTATGAAAATGAGAACATATATTCTATGGTATATTTACGATGCCCTGACGGTATATTTTATCGATAAGTCCGCGGTCACACTGATCGTACCAGTTCCAAAACACCGTATAGCCCATTTTTTTATTTTATTTTAAAGTTAACTTTTCCTTTAGATAATAGTTTGATTTACGAAAAATATCGCAGCAATACAACAAGTGGGTTTTGCTGGTGTGCAACAGTTGGCTTCTGCGCTGCCTCCCTGCGACCTTGGGCGCACCCGCCACACGTCAACACGCACAAAACTGCAATCACATTAACTATGGAAATAGTCCGAGCACAGATAAATTCCACCGGACATACACGGGGTCAGGGACTGGGACAAGAGGACAACCCGCAATCCCATCTCGTATTATCGATGGGAAAAAGGCAATTGCTGTCGCACTTGTTAGCGCTCAGGCGGTCTGACTCTGACTTCACCTTGACTAAAGTACACACGACGCGGCAGGGAGGCAGTGCAAAAACAGAAAATTAACACACACACACACACATTAATGATAACGGTAGCAGCACAAATAATATGCAACTGATTTCCCACAGTTTTCATATCACAATCAACACTTGCATCGCTGCATAATTCGGCCAAATCAAATCGAAAATGTTGAAGCTACGTAACATTCTGAGTGTCGGCAATAACAATGGCCAGTCCGCTGTCCGGTAAGCTATATATATTATAGGTATAATTAAATATAAATATATTGTACAAATGTATGTATGAATGCTCATATGGTATATTCCAAACATACGCAGCTGTATATACATATCAAATGGCATGCTTTTGTCTGGACTATAAGACGTAAATTAATAGATGCATTGAAACACAGACGCAAAAAGGAAAACTCTCCTGGGCCGGCAACCCACAAAGGTGTAAAGAGATTCATTTACATATGTACATATACTTATGTATGCCAGTTTTTTCTTTCAATCAAATGAGTCTGCCAGGAAGGAGCTAATTGAAACGAACTAAAACTAATTAAAATACAATCTCATGCGGCAAAAAGCCATCCCACCACAGACTTGAATATCTGAAGATAAGATTTGGCATACAAAAGAGTCTTCTTTCATTTGGAATATCTGCAAAAGAACCCTTTTTATAAGCCAATAATTCCATTCTATTCCAATGAGTAGATCAAAGTTATCTTGCTGATTGAGTTTTTGGCTTTGGCTAATCTGGTTAAAAGGTTGATACACACTTATAAATACACAAAGCTAGATAATAGTATCCAACTGTTTGGTTTATTGGATATATTTGTATTTGTTTTGTTTGTTCAAGATGGATTTCGACGACTGCAACCTGCAGGGAATTGGATTCATGGTTCTCAAAGTTGCTTGTAAGGAAAATCGAGCCAACCAAAGAGGCTCACAGTCGCATGCTGAGCGACAAGGAAATCATATATGCATTGCATACGCATAATGTACGACCCGACTCGATGAGCGCCTATCTGAATAACTAGTAAGTAGTGGCATTCCCAGATAACAACACTATTAAGAATTGACCCAGCAGCAAGTAGTACTTTTTCCCATTGGACTAATCCAAAGGTTACGCCACAAATCTTGTCTCGGGTTGCTTGTTGGTTGTTGCTTTTGTTGATTGTCAGCCATGAGTTCGCTTATCAACAGCTTACATTGAATAATTTCTTGCAGCAAAACAACCGTGTCTTTAATGAACGAAAAAAAGGCAAATCTTTCGTGCAATTTGGTGGCATCATGGAGCGTACAGGTGGGCGACATGGATCAGTGTTTGCATTTATGGAAATACACCGGTGGCTTTGAGAAAATCGATCAGGCCAAAGAGGATCTGTGGAACGATCCAGAGTACCTGAGTCTTATGCAGGAGCGTTCCAAGTTTCTGCGCTCACGACATCTACAATACCTGTTGGCCTTCAGCTACTGGCCGCAGATTGCCAGCCGTTCCGGCAAGAATATCTACGAAATGCGGTACCAACAACACACACAAAATCATCAAATTAAATTAAATCTCTAAATTCCATGTGCCATGTATTTTATTGCAGCTCATATCGATTGACGCCTGGCACCATGATTGAATGGGGCAACAACTGGGCACGTGCCATCAACTATCGCAAGCATAACAACGAAGCATTTGCTGGATTCTTCTCACAAATTGGCAGGCTTTACAATGTGCATCACATCTGGTGTATGTACAACCACCATATATTCAGACGGAAGCATTACTAAACCAATTCTTGTACTATAGGCTACAAATCGCTGCAGGACCGCAAGGAGACCAGAGAGGCCGCGTGGCGTTCCCCTGGCTGGGACGAGTGCGTCGCCTACACTGTGCCACTGATACGAGAAATGCATTGCCGCGTCCTCGCTCCCACTGAGTTTTCGCCCTCACAATAAGTATGGGCCAGCAATACAAATTCAAAGCGTATCAGAGAAAGGCGAGTGTCTCGTTTCCAACACAATCGATCTGATCCGAAATGCTGTGAGACATCATCCACTGATCCAATGTAATGTTGCCGCTTCCGCTCGTTTTTAGTCGTTGTACATAATGCCATCATACATATGCATATGTATGGTATGTACACATACATATGTATGTATACAATATGCATTAATTTTAGTTTTCTCTAGTATCAAATAAGAACAGAAAGTGTGCATTTTACCCATAAACAAAAAAAACGATCCTCTGTGTGTGCCTGCCCCTACCACATACCAACATTGAATTTAACCAAAAAGTGAAAACTTCGTTTGTAAAACTTTAAGAACTATAATAAAAGTTGTATGGGAGTGTATATTGTGAAACGAGCATAGCGCAAAATAATTTGTATTTATTTATAAAATTGTTTTTTTGCCTCAATTAATCATGAGCATTCTATCCATCCAAAATTCAAATAAACTGCTATGATATGAACATAAACGAGAAGGGACGTGTGAGATGCTTTTTACGCGTCACAACTTTTATACCCGGCACTCAGTACAACATCTGCACCTTAGCGGTTATTTTTTCTTCATCTGTCATCTACGTCAACAACACTACTGACACTAACACGCTCCTTTAGCTCGACGCCCTTCCCTAGACCCACACACTGCAGACTCGCGGCAGAGGCGCGCCCGCACACAAACAAAAAAACAAATATAAGCTGCGGGACGGGGTGGGTTAAAAGTCGGAAGAGGCAGCGGCAGGGGGAGGGCAGAGGCAGGGGCCGAGTGAAGCAGAAGCAGAGTGTGAATGAGAGAATGTAAAAAGAACAACAAAAGCTGCGGGACAGGGCGGGTTTAGCCACTGGAAATTAATTTCTCCATTGTGGCTATAATAATGATCCAATCGGATCCCATTGGTGATCTGATAGATATGGCCATTTCCAAATTGTAGATTTGGGAGGTTTTCGCCCTTTTGCGGGGGCGGAAGGGGGCGTGGCTCATTTTTTAAATACACTGGTTTCAGTGTGAGCATACAGCAGTCCGGAGCCAAAATTTGGTGGCTCTAGCTCTTATAGTCGCTGAGAACTAGCCAAAAAACAAGACGGACAGACAGACATGGCTCTATCGACTCGGCTATTGATGCTGATCAAGAATATATATACTTTACGGGGTCGGAAACGCTTCCTTCTGTGCGTTACATACAACCGTTATTCCCCACAAATACAATATACCCTATTTACTCTTCGAGTACCGGGTATAAAAATGAACCAATTCGCTGCGCATCGCTGTGGTTTGTGCTGTGGGATTGATAGTCATGGCAATCGGTGCCACCTAGACTTGCTGATGATCCTTATGTTTCAATCAGTTGACTGAAGGCTAGCTATCTTATCGTGAGATATAACACGTAATTTTACAGCACAATGCAGACAATTTTAGAAGATGTATTTGATAATGTTCTGTCGAGTATGCCTCGCTCTTTGGGGTGATAAAAAAAAAAATAAATTAAAGAAATGTTTTCGCTAGACTAAATGCTGTCCGACATTGGTATGGGTATTTGGGTTATTTTAATGGTAATACTGTGTACAGCAACACACACTGGAATGAAGTCTGCAAAGGGGAAATGGAGCTCCTACTTATCCATCTTCAAGATGCTACTTGGGTACGGTTTCCATATCCTGGTCCAAGTAGTACAACTGTGTTGCTTCAAATATTGCAATATTTTGTTAATGAGATCATTAATTATTGACTAGACTGTTCAGCATGCAGACGCACAGTCCTCAAGTGCTTCTTGCCGCACAGATGCTGTTGAAGGGTCGTCGCATGGTTCATGAGCTTCTTGCAGGGCTCGCAGTAGTAGCCGCCGGTTGGTGTGCGGTACATGGATTGGTCCGCAGCCGACAACTCCTCACCCAGACTGGCCGCAATCGATCCTTCGGAGACGTCGGGTGCCGCGTCCATCTCTATGTCCGGCTCCATGCTCATTTTGCGTAGATTCTTTTGGTGCTTTGCTCCCTTCACGTGCATTTCCATTTGCCCTGAAGATGTAACTTTAATTTGGCAAAGACTGCACTCCACTCTGCGACTAGCCTCAGCGTTCTCTTCGACTACAGCTGGACGATTTGCCTGATTAAGTGTTAGGGCCAGGGGCTCCTCCGCGGGCAGCTCTGAGCGCGCTATGTCGTTCAGGAAGGATAAATCCTTAAGTTTCGTATCTGTGCGCACCCAATCGCCACCGGATGTGTCCGATGTCCGCGAGAACTTAGACTCTACCAATTTGTGCTTGCGGCCGCCATAGTGCTGACGGGCGTGGGACGCAGAGCTCAAGGACAGATCGCACACTTTGCAGTGGTACGCAGTTGTGCCAATGCGACCAGGTGTCATCTGTAAGCCACGCTCCGGATAGGTCTTGGTAATCCATGCGGCCACTTGGCGATCGTGTCCCCGGGAGTAGTAGTGGTCCTCAGCGCTCTTGCACGATGTCATCGTTGCCTTGCACAACTCACAGCGCATTGGCTTGATGAGTACGTTCAGCTCGTCGGGGTAGCCGGCATGACGACCCAGAAAGTAGTTCATTTCGTTTCCATCCACATCCATGGCATTTTCATTAGCCGTCGGCTCGCCGGCAGAATGTTTGCGCTTCCTAGGGCGCGCTGTGGTGGTGGCTGCAAGACCAGGGACCAGAACACCTGCAAGGGCCATTTCCTGGTCCCCAAGTGCAACAACTTGATTATTGCTACCGAACGCCATGAGTCGAGTGTCACAGAATTGTCCACGGTCTCTACTTTCGATGCGTTTGTCGCCAGTTGAGGTATTTGTGCATTGAAACTCGAATATTCGGCTGCATTTCAGACACAAAAATCAAAACAAAAATAGACAGTTAGAGATGTCAATGATATATCGCATCTGCATGTATCGACAATCGCATTCGCTGATAATTTTAAGTGGCCCGAAAAATTGCAGATGCCTTTTGATTGCTAATTTTTAAAAAGCTCTCTAAATAAATATAGGACTGTGGCAGTTCCCCACCATGCTATACCCACCCACACATAAATACTATTACGCAAGCTGCGTGAACCGCCATAATACATGCAAACAGAATAGAATATTTGTTCTTCAACCCATCGTTTATTAGAATTTATTGTACGAGTAAAAATGAAGTCTAGCCATTTAGTTCTCGGTCAATGAACGGATGATGTCCGAATCTCCAGGATCGGTAATGGACAGGGTGCACACGCGGAAGTATTTACCGCAGGCGGTGCCCAGCTCAATGTTGGTGCCGCTGTAGTGCTGAACCTCGGTCTTGGCCAACATGGCGTAGTACTCAATCTCCGACTTCCTGCAAAGGCACAAACCAAAAGCTATTAATCATCAATGCCAACAATTTCAGAATCCACAATTCGAGTCAATATAATCAGAAAGAGTCTCTAGTAATAAAAAGATTCGTCAGGGCAGTCGGAATTACAGAATCATCACGTGTGTGTGTGTCTAAATATCAAATATGTTCAGTCTTACCCCAAGCAGGCGCAACATGTGCGTGTCGTTAGTGAAACCACGTGGAGGGGGCAGTAGCAAGCAATTCTGTTTTTACAGTCGCTTGCCCCTGCCGCTTGCGCTGGTTGAGATGATATATACTACTCCATAGTTTCCATCAATTTCACTTGATTGAAATCATATTTCTCAGTCAGCATTAAGCAAGACTCCATATGGTTCCATCAACAGCAACGCGTAGCTGTTCATACATACTTGGGTGCAATGGAAATCTACTTCTCGGTAGCATTCTCACCTCAGGGCGGGCGTGTTGCTGGCAATAAGCACCAGCTTGGCCTTGCCTTGACGCAGGGTCTTCAGCGTTTGCTTGTAGCCCAGGCAGTATTTGCCAGATTTCATCACCAGCGCCAGACGCGCGTTGGTGCTCTCCAGCGCCTTTTTCTATAAACAAAACACAAATGCAGCGATCAGCACAGATGCACAAAACCATGTTCATTATTTGTCAAAATTACCTGTTTCTTTGGGGCAACCATTTTGAAGATTTAAATCAAAGAAGCGACTAAGGAAATATCAACTATTAGAATTTTGTAGACCAGCAAATTTTCGACACACCTACCTTGGTCAAGTGACAGTGGCAAAAGAAGGAGGCAGATACCGGAAACGCGGTGTTGTCATCGGTGCGGCACTTCAGAGTTGCTGGGTCCATATCGATAGTTGGCAGAGATGTGTTTACCGTGCAATCGATGTTTTACTCCCATCCCGTTTTTAATTTACTAAATTCCAGTTCTATCTGAATGATTCTGTACTTTTGGTTCACACTACTGGCGCCACCTGTCTAGTTCTAATATGTGCGAAACATGTCTTCACTTATCTTCACAACTTCTTATTCAAGATTTGTATATGAGGAAAGCTGTTGTGCTCAGTATAAAGTAATGCAGAAACACATGAAAATACAAGACAAAATATATTTTTTTTTAAATAATAAGCGCCAAAATTATGGTGCCGATATCAAATCTCGAATCGAATATTGAATCGTATCGAATATAAAATATATCACCACATCAATATATCGATATAATATCAACAATACTATTGATAACATCGATATGTTCTTCCAGCTGTAAAGCGAGCACATTGCCTTTATTTAAAAACAAAAAACAATAATAAATCTGAAAGAAATGCATCGCAGGAAGACCGCAAAATCAATAAATAAACCACCGCCAATTCAGGGACCAGCAAAGAAGCCGGTGGTGGCGACGTCGGCTGAACCGGGCCCGGCATTAGACGGTGAGAGCGTCATTCAATTCGAGCTGGAGCTCTGCTGGTGTGTTCAACAGCTACAGACAGCCCTTGACGGCGGCAAGCTGAGCCAAAAAGTTGGTAAGTTTCCCATAGGCACACTTCGGAAATATGAGTGTAGGCTATAATAATCTAAAAACGCCCAATTGCAGCCGAAGATACTGCCAAGAACCTTAAAATTCTGACAAGCCAAACGGCGCCACTCATCAAGAAGCGGCAGGTGATGAAGCTCTCCATGGGAGATTACCGTTCCAAGATGCAACAGGAGGAACGAAAAATGATGTTAGGTGAGACACAATTTTACAGTTTACAAAAAAAAAATACACTTTCAATCATACATTTCTGTGCTTTCCTTTCTGTTCCACAATGTACTTGCGTCTCCTTCTAATCTGTGTTACCGCTCATTTTCATGGAATTCATCTTCTTATATTGCAGCATCCAAGCAAATAAAATTCACACCCTCCGCTGACACAAATAAAAAGTCCAGCTTTGTAAAGAAGTCGGCGCTTCTTACATCCGGAAAGGGTTTTCGCTTTGAATTTGCTCTGCCCACCGCTGCCGATACTAATGAGACTGCTCCAGAACCCGCCCAGCAGACGGCATCCCACCCACAGTCTGATATGTCATCGCTTCGCAGCAGCCTGCAGCAGGAGAGCACGGGAAGCCAGTTTAAGTTTAACTTTACCATCGCGGATGACCATGCGAACGACATCAACTTTAGTGGCCTAAAACTGAACAGTTGATTGAAACTTGAATAAACTAAATCCTACCATTATGCCTGAGAGTACAGACTTACTGGGTGCATAAAACGCAAGTTTTCAATTCTTAAATACTTTTATTAAATACCATTTTTAGACAACGCTCACTCTTCAACGTTTTATACAATAGAATTTTGAAGACTCACTCAATAGCATTTCGGATCTTTCGATCAGCCAGAATATGCCAATAAAAACCCTTACAAGAAGACAAACATACATATATTTAAGAGAGAACAAGTTTATGCTGCTCAGGCACATGATGCACTTACTCAAAAATATTCCCGTTCTCTTTTTTCGTGGTTTGTTTTTCACAGTAAAACAGTAAATACAACAGCAAATTCGGTGCGATTGGGTGTGTTTGAGTGATGAATACAACCCGAAAGAGAGCGAATACACCACCCAGTACATTTTCGTCATGGATGGTGTATTCCCAGAAGGCGCTCTCTCTTTTCGGGGCGTATCTCAGTGTTTTGTGCGCTGTGTGATCAACTATGGATCAATGCAACTCAAGTGAAATTAGAAGAGACCAATAAAATCTGCGAGAATCATTTTGATGAAGACGATTTTCATTATGCATCCGAAAGCAAGGCAAAGCGCCGGCGTTTGCTGCCAAACGCAGTCCCTCAAAGAGAGAAATACTTGCACGCAGAAGAAATACCCTCTGCTGTCGGGCATAATGTCTGTGACTTTAGTTCGCAAACTGAGTGAGTATAACTTTATTTCCTATACCCACTATTTAACTTTTGCTAAAATTACAGAAAAGAAATAATCGAATGCGGATTCGACCTTGAAAATTTGCGACTAAAACTAAAAATAAAAGAATTGCAAACGGAAAATGATCTGCTTGTAAAAAAGCTACAGACTGTGGAAACGTTGGCAGCATACCTTAAAAATATATTCACCGAAAAGCAAATCAGTAAGCTGGAAAATGGTGGTGTGCGGGTATGTTGGAGCTCGGAGGACATTTCTTCAGGAATTTGTCTTCATGCTGCTAGACCTTATAGGCTTATAGGCTTATAGGCTTATAGGCATCTCCTCAAAAGGGGGTTTCCATTTCCCTGCATATCCACACTGCACAAATGGTCGCAAACGGTGGAGATAAACCCTGGCCCGTTAAATTTAATATTCGAACTTATGGAGGCAGCTGTTGACAGGGAAAATGAGGACAAACTTTGCGTGTTGTGTTTCGATGAAATGAAAATACGAGTTGAGTCGACCACAAAGCCGCGAAACTTTGTACAAGTGGCAATGGCTCAGGGACTGTGGAAATCCTGGAAGCAACCCATTTATTACGATTTTGACAAACCAATTACAATGGACACACTACACATGCTGATCAAAAAGCTTTACTCTGCACAATATCATGTTGTGGCAATGGTGTCCGATATGGGAGTCGGAAACTTGAAATTATGGACACAGCTTGGAATATCAACAGGTACGAAGCAACGAACAACAAAATCATTGTGTGACTTTTATGAATACGTTTTTATTTTAGAGAAAACCTGGTTTGGACATCCAGCTAATCCACAAATGAAAGTTTTTGTATTTTCCGATGTGCCTCAACTGGTAAAGCTAATGAGGAATCACTTCCTAGACACTGGGCTGGTGGTAAACGGCAAAACAATATTCGCTATAACAATAATAAAAGCGCTGAAGGATGTCTCTGTTTTTGAATTGCCAATTGCATGGAAAATAACGGAGGACCACTTAAACGTGAATGCCAACGGAAGGCCAAATATTAAATTGGCCACTCAATTGTTCTCCAGCAAGTGCCATTCGTCATTGCCAGCAACTGCGATTGGATGAAGATAATGCCTGTGAAACAGCAGATTTCGTTCAGCTGGCCAACGATTGGTTTGACATATTTAATGTTAAACTTTCGAAAGCCAACTCGATTCCGACCAAGCAACCGTTTGGTAAATCTCTAAATGAGCAGCGAAAAGTGCTCAGTGAGATGACTGCCATCATGTCCACCCCGATAGTGCCAAATTCCAATCACAAACTTCCCTTTCAAAAGGGTGTGATTGTCAGCCATACGTCGTTGGATCATTTATTTCAATATGTAGACACAAAGTATGGCATGGAATACGTGATAACTAGCAGAATATCGCTGGACTCTTTAGACCAATTTTTCGAAGATCTTCGGTCAAAAGCTGAACTACATGACCACCCAAGTTCAAGGGAATTTAAATATCAACTTCGGAAATATTTATTAGCTAATGGTTTATGTAAAATTTCTTAAATTGCGCTATGCGTTAACTTCAGTTAACGTTTGTTTGAAAAGTGTTTATACATGGAATGTTTGTACATATTAAATTATACACAGATTTAGATGAGCCTCTGATAAATCT